GTCGAACCTGTCTGTTCTAACCCCCTTCTTCTTAGCAAACAACAATGTGAAGTATGCTTGATCTCTCCCTATAGACGTGTTTTCCTTGGGGCAAACTTATCCTAACATTTTCAGTGAATTTTTTTTTTTTTATCATATTTTTATTGTTGTTAAAACAGATATACAATGCCATTCAAATTGACCATGTGCAGTATAACAAGAATCAAACAGCATTTCAACATTTTTTATATTTTTATAAACGCCATTCAACCCCAGAAACCCCTGTGCTGGCAGGAAAATAAAAATAACTTAAAAAAAAAAAGGAGATTGTTATCCCAAAATGAAAACACTTTACATTGAGACTTGTTTACAAATGCGACGGGAGATTTGTAAGTTTGTCAAAATAACCCAATAGAGTCCCATACTTTTTAAAAATTTTTGGTTGATCCTTTCAAAAAATATTTAACTTTTTCGATTTTTAGGAACATCATCATATCCGAGAGCCCCATTGCTGCCTTAGATGGAAATTGAGATTTGCTGATGAAGGTTCTCAGTCATCCAGGTCATAGTCATTCCGTAAAAATTTTAAAATATCCACTGGACTTGGTTTTCAAAGATTTGAAGACGTTTCGCCACCTCTCCAGGAAGCTTTCTCAATTCAAGTCTCTGGATCCGCAGTGAGTTTGAGTCTTATATGGACAAGGCCTTTTTTTTTTGCTTGGAAACATGCAATGATAACCAATGAATGGGTCGTTTAGTTCCATCGTTAGCCTGTAATATCTAAATTTGAGATTTCCATTCCAGAAGTATTCTCCTTTGAGCAATCAGAGTTGCAAAAGCAATAAAATTTTTCTTTCTAGAAATCGCAGAGTCAACCCCATTGTCAGTGAATTTAAGCTGGGAAAATTAGTGGTCTACAAAACTCAGAGGGATTTCTCAGGTATAGCCATTGACCAAGCTCATCAGCAGGCCAATACAGTTGTTAAAGGTGATGGTAGAGACATTTGAATTATCAAGGAACCATCTGCACTGAGGCAGCGGATGGCGTGTGGACAAGAAGTCAAGCAGATAGTCAACAAGAATGAGTTGACCTCTCAGGTCAATATAGCAACTGAAGATATCAGGCACCAGAGCAGACCAGTCCGTCTCAGGATTCCTTCACTGATAAGCTCCAGAGGTTGTTTGTTTTAATTCTAAATTTTTCCAGGATTAGTTTAAAGATCTTCTCACATTGAACACAAAAAAACGTTGCACATTCCAGTGCTGCTGATAAGAACTGACTTTGAGAAAGGTCAAAATCTCGGTGACGAGACTTCCTTCTGTGATTCTATTAAAAACAATTAATTTGATCTCTTTCACCAAGAGGCAGCTTCCATTGACATCGAGAAGTAGGTACTCAAAGAAAACTGTTGGCTGTTCTCACAGCTCTTTATATCCTGCCAATCATGGGAGTTGACCTGCTCGAGTTATTTAAGAAGATAATCAGTCTTACCTTGCATCACTGAGTTAGACGGGGAAAGTCCACTACGGTCAGAAGTCCAGCTGCAACAAGGCAAGCAAACCAAGAAACTGCCTAAGGCCCAAAACTGGCCTGGGGCCCCTGAGTAAAACCATGAAAACCTGATTCCAGAATCTTCACACATGCTATTCATGCAGCCAAGCAGCAGAGGAAGTCTATCTAATTCACAGTGGTGTCAAAAGTTCACACATTTGTTACTTAAGTAGAAGTATAGAAACTGCAGTTTTAAAAACATTCTGGTAAAAGTTGAAGTATCAACTTGACCTCTTTACTCAGGAAAAAGTGAAAAAGTATGTGCTCCAAAAACTACTTAAAGTATAAAAATTGCATTTGAACACTTTTTTTTATTGTTGAAAATGTTCACTTTGGTTGAAGGAATTATTTGTGTTTGGGCCACACATGGGTAGGACATTTGTGTCTTAATCATTCAATTACCCCAAAAGGTGTTTCAATAAAAAAGAAAAAAAAAAAAAAAAAATTAATCAAAGAAAAAACTGCAAATGCAAAATAAATAAATAAATAAATGAAAATAAGTGAAAAAAATGTGAAGTTCAAATTGTTTTATTTGAATCAATTTTCTTTTTAAGTACAAAAATTTTTGAAGTTCAAATTTTTTTGATTGAATAATTTTGACACAAACGTTCCGCAGTGGGCGGGTGCTTTAACCAAAGTGAACATTTTCAACAATAAAAAAAAGTGTTCAAATGCAATTTTTTGAGTCTCCAATATTTTATTTGCATTCAAAAACTATTTTCTATGATTGAAAACGTTTATCTTTTTATTGAAGTTACTTTTCTGTATTGATTCTGTTGTTTGTTTGAAGCAACTTCTTGATTGATTGAATAATAAAGACACAAATGTCCCACCCATTATATGGTCCAATCAAAAATTAATGTTATTTCAATTAAAAAAGTTGCTTTAAACAAAATATATTTGTTTCAAATATATTTTTGCATTCAAATACTTTTTTTCTTTGATAGAAAATAGTTTTTTTTAAATTGAAGTAAAGATTTTTTTAAATTGAATTTTTTTTTGATTGAATAATAAAGAAACAAATCTACCTTCATAGTCTTGTTGGTCTCCATCTCCCGATACGCTCTCGCCTGTGTCCGACCTTTCAGACATTTCAACATCTTTTCCTGAATCCCACATTGTAGCATGGCATAGACAATTCACGTTAGCAGTTTGAAGAACACCTGCTTGCTTCTGATGATTTCCTTTAGCTAACCAATGAGTGTTTGCGTTCTATGACTCATCCAATGACACTAGTTTTCACTAGATGTGGATGGAGCCAATGATCTGCATTGGATGGAGCACATGACAGGAAATAAATATTTATAAACATTAAACCGAAGCCAAGGGTAACGTTTGTTTTAAAAATGTAAGGAATAGAAAGTACAGATACTTGTGTGAAAATGTAATGAGTAGAAGTCAGAAGTAGGAAGATAAATAAGTAATGGAGTAAAGTATAGATAACTAAAAAGTGTACTTAAGTATAGTAACAAAGTATTTGTACTTCATTACTTGACGCCTCTGCCAATTCATGATCTGGTGGTGAATCTTTTGCCAATTAATTAATTAATTAGCTCAGAGAAATCTAGTGGCATGCTTTTCTTTCACACCCGCACTGGTTGTGACGTTATCATCATCCTTTCATAGTGAAAGCAAGAAAAACTGCATTTTAAGAATGGGGGAGCAGCCAATGCTTTTCCATGTTTTCTTACCATTATCTTAAAGTAAAAAAAAAAATAAAAATGTACCATTCCATACCATTGAATTTAACACCCCCGTTTTATTCAACATTCAGCAGGCTAATGGAGGTGGGGAATCAGCTGTTTCTGAATCTGCTGGACCGGCATTGGATGCTTTGAAGCTTCTTCCCAGAGGGCAGCAGGGGGAACGGTCCATGGAGGGGGTGTGAGGGGTCAATGATGATGTCACGGGCTTGGGACACACAGCGGAGGGATGAAATGTCTTTAATGGAAGGAGAAGGCTTCTTACCTGAAAAAAAAAACTTAGTTCTTACATTTGTAGTAACACAACACATAAATATTTATAAAAATGTAACTTTATTGATCTTACATTGGAGGAATTTACCCCTGCATTTAACCCATCGCTTTGGGATGCAGTGGGCTTCCATCATGGGGCACCCGGGGAGCAGTGTGGGGTTAAGGGTGTTTGCTCATAGAGCCAGGGTGGCAGTCTGTGGGAGTGGGGCTCGAACTCAGGACCTCAGGATTCCAAGCTCTATGGCCTAACCACTAGGCCGCCACTCCACCTTAATAACCTGTAATTATCTCTCAACAAATTGAGATAAATTTTGTTTTGAAAGTGTTGCTTTATCAGATATTTGTCAACCAGAACCCCATATTACTACTGTATTTGGATGTTGAGTACAACTTATTGGCCCTCTGGCCACACCCATCATCAAAGGCCAGCCAACGAAGTCACATTTAACAAAAGATGTGACTGACATCATGTGGTCGCCCAACACTATCACCTTCAACTTTTCCATGTCATGCATTTTTTTTTAAAATAAATTGAAACGAAAGTTTCAAACAAACAATACAAACATATTGTTTAAACTTACTAAAAACGCAAAAGAAAAGAAACATTTTCTTCTTTACATTTGGCAAGCACAATTAAAAGGTTTATAAAGAGAATATTATGGGGCCAAAATGGTAGCTTTAATATTTGCAAATGTGTGTGGAGAGTTGTGTGTCTGTATCTCGATTTGTGTGTGTGCAGTGGGATTTGAAAATGTGTAAATAAATCTGTAAATGTGTGAGGAGATTTGTGTGTCTGTACAACAATCTGCAAATGTGTAAAACTACTTGTGTGTAATCCGTTTTGCAAATGTGTAAAAAATCCACAAATCTGTATTCAGATCTGCAAATGTGTACTGAGATTTGCAAATGTGTAAAAAAATCCACAAATCTGTATTCAGATCTGCAAATGTGTACTGAGATTTGCAAATGTGTAAAAAATCCACAAATCTGTATTCAGATCTGCAAATGTGTACTGAGACTTGCAAATGTGTAGATCAATCTGTAAGCACACACAGAGACACTTGTGTCTGAAGTATTTTCGCTTCAAGACCCAGAAATACAGACAAATAATTGGTTACAAGTCAAGCAGTTTTTCGGTTGGCTCTCTTTACACACGTGATTTTTGCTACTCTCCTGCCGCGTGAGATGCACAAATGCGTAGAAGGATTTGTATGTGTATTTTCGCGATTTGTTACCCCTTGCGCAGGCTCGCAGGCTCACATGCTGCCCTGACCGCAGGCTCGCAGGCTCACAGACAGCCTCTCTCTGCTGCGACAGTTCAGCACAACTTGCTTCACATACAGCCACATACCACCAGTTGGCGGTATTGTACAGTACGTGACGTTACTGGGGTCCTAGGGGTTGTACCTGCTAAGTTGAGAGCAATGGAATCCCGTCAGCTTTCTGTAAGTATATTTCTTTAATTTTTTCTATAGTTTGCATTAGTAAAACTGTTTCTTCTTCTTCTGCTTCTGTTTTATGGCGGTTGGCAAGCAACTTTATGATGTGCATTACCACCATCTACTTCAGTGGAGTGTGGATCGGGATGCTATGTATTTTCCCACTGAAAAATAAAAATAAATATTGACAATATTTACATAAATAAACTTATATCCTTTCTATCAATTTCGTTTTTTCAAGATTGTTTATCAAATTACAAAAATAATCATAAGTAGATTTTTTTCCCCCAAAATATCTTGTATATTTAACTGTAATTTATTTTCCTGTAACCCTTCTCTCCATAGAATATTTATAACAAAACAACAAAACATGCTCCACCGTCTCCCCTTGATACCAAAAACCACAACCTCCTGTTCCCATTCTAAATAAGTTTCCATTTAACCCCGTGTTTCCGAAACTTAATCTAGATATAACCTCTTTTTTATTCCTCTCCGTTCTCCTCATTGCACCAATTTTCCTTTGAATACTATAAAGCCAACTTCCAGTTCTATGCTCTTCCCACAGCTTCTGCCATCTTTCCGTAACCTTTTGTTTAATAATAGATTACATTTTTTCCTTACTGAATGGTATCAATATATCATCCTTGTCACGTCAACTCCCGCAGCTGAGGGAAAAAAAAGGTAGAGGCTGTCTGTGAGCCTGTGAGCCTGCGGTCAGGGCAGCATGTGAGCCTGCGAGCCTGCGCAAGGGGTTACAAATCGCGATAATACACATACAAATCCTTCTAGGCATTTGTGCATCTCACGCGGCAGAAGAGTAGCAAAAATCACGTGTGTAAAGAGAGCCAACCGAAAAACCGCTTGACTTGTAACCAATGATTTGTCTGTATTTCTGGGTCTTGAAGCGAAAATACTTCAGACACAAGTGTCTCTGTGTGTGCTTACAGATTGATCTACACATTTGCAAGTCTCAGTACACATTTGCAGATCTGAATACAGATTTGTGGATTTTTTACACATTTGCAAATCTCAGTACACATTTGCAGATCTGAATACAGATTTGTGGATTTTTTACACATTTGCAAAACGGATTACACACAAGTAGTTTTACACATTTGCAGATTGTTGTACAGACACACAAATCTCCTCACACATTTACAGATTTATTTACACATTTTCAAATCCCACTGCACACACACAAATCGAGATACAGACACACAACTCTCCACACACATTTGCAAATATTAAAGCTACCATTTTGGCCCCATAGAATATTTTGGATACATTTGACTGCTCCTGAAAACCACAATGAAAGTTGAAGCCAGGTTTGCTTCCAGAACACATCTGTTAGGAATCCAGTCTGTGTGGGTTATGTTTTTGGTGTTTTTCTCTCCCTCCACCACCAGGTGGTGCCCTGTCCTCATTGGTCCTCCTGCACACCTCATCACTGAGGAGTATTTTAGTGGTGGACTGTCTCTACCTCGACGCCAGATTGTGAAGTGGGTCAGATCTCTTAAAAACACCATGACAACATCAGCCACAAAATGGATCCGATTTGGCACAGCAGCAGGAATAGAATAGCATTTAATTTTATTGTCATTCCACTGTCTCAAGTACAGAGCAACAAAATGAATTCTCTGCATTTAACCCATCCCCTTGGGGAGCAGTGGGCTGCCAATGTGCGGTGCGGTGTGGTTAAGGGTCTTTCTCAAATCTGAATTAGAACTCAAGAAAAACATAAATTCAGTTGTCAAAATTAGTTTACTTTTTTTTATTTAACTTGGAAAAAAAAATTTGGAGATGAAAACAGGGCTCATATCTCAATACCACTGAAGCTATCACCTTATTGTTTTTTAAATAAGTAGTAAAATAGAATGTTTAAAGAAAAAAATAAAATCAGTAACCATGTCTGTTCCATCGCTTATGATCATTAGAATTTCTTTAAAGCTACAGTGTGTAATAATTACAGGGATATACAGTCAGAAATGTAATATATTATACATAACTATGTTATTTATCATCATCTACGAGCTCAGCCTCTTAACCTTAATATTTGCGTTGCCTTAGAATTCGTTATTTATAATTACATAGGAGCGGGTCTCGCAGCCATGGAGGCAGACATCTTTGCGCTACGGCAGCGCAGAGCCAACAAACTAGCGATTGCGAGATCGCCAAAACGTCACAACGATGTAGAAAAAATAACGGGTATATTTATTATCTTAAGTCTGCATGAAATCTATACCCTACACAGACTAATGAAATACTATCTGTAAAATTATCTATGTAAACAAACCTCATCACTTGAGAAGGTAGGTGATGCGGACGTCGTGGAAGACATTTTGTCCCGTAACGCTCGCCGTACTGTTGGGGGGGGAGATGTTCATGTTGCTGCAGTCTGCAGTGTGACCGCTAGATGTCGTTAAAGGTTACACACTGGGCGTTTCTCAATATGCGTTCTTGAGCGTTCTCGTGTGCTCGTGTACTGGTGGCACGTCATCAGCCTCAGCCCGAGTACCGTTCCAATTCTCAAGAAAGCCAGATCGAGAACGCATTTAATCCCCGGATGTTGTTCTCACCCCGCCCTCTTTATCGAGCATGCATCAGAGCAGACTTGTGCGTTCTTCAGACTGACCGCTTCCCCAGAATGCCCCGCGGCCGCAGCTTGATTCCAGACAGCGCTCACAGTGTTAAGTTAAACATTCCCTTTTCTTCTGCTGTTGTTCTTCAAAAGTACGTTTTGAAATCGTTTGAGGCGATAACATTATACATTTAAGCCTCCCTGTGTGGCCTGTTTACAGAGTTAGTGCGAAAAAAAAAAAAAAAGTCCGACGTTGAGCGGACCAGAGTGACCAGTAGACCTCCGAGGGTAACCGCAGCCAGGGCTAAATTTACCCCGTCTGTAGTGCACTTCTCTCGGTCTAGTTATGTGTGAACTACCGCTCGTTCTGATGGCGTTTTTTTGCGGTTCGGTAATTTAAAAAAAATTTTTTTTAAGCTTTAGAAATTAAAAATATTGTTTTCAAAATGTTTTGTGTAGGGAATAAATCGTTTTGACTGTTAAAGAAATGCTAAACAACGTTGCCTGTGATGACGTCACGAGTACGCTTCTGTTCCAATACACATACGTGCTTGCGTGCTCGCGTTCTCGTCAAGTCCGATCTTCCTGCGTTCTCGCCAAGAACGTGAATTGAGAAACGCCCACTGTAGCTTTAAGTATAATATGTTCAGTACAGGGGCCAGGACATGATCCACAGAGGCACTGGCCCCATTGGCCCCTGTCTAGAACTGCCCATAATCATGTTTCCTTATTTATTGGAAAAAGGATTAGTGGAAAGAGAAAAAAAACAAACAAACAAAAAAAAAAATATATATATATATATATATATAGTCGGAATTAAAATGAAGAACAATATCTGCTTGTTAAAAGATTAACAGACCTTTAATCTATATACACAGCAGAAATGATAGCAATTATTATTAGTTTTCAGTGGGTGGAGGAGGTCAGACCGGACAGGGTGGTGATTTGCACAGATTCTAAAGCTGCAATAGAAAGCATTCATTCAGGAGGAAATAATAGGAAAGAGCTTGTATTAGAAATTCATCACAGTTTGTTTAGGTTATTTAGGTATGGAATAGATGTTCAGTTCTGTTGGGTTCCAACACACGAAGGGATGAGAGGAAATTCAATAGCAGAACAGATAGCTAAAAAAAAGCTTTAGGAAAGCAGAATATAAATCAGATTCCATTTGGGAAAGGGGAAGGTAAATCAATAATTACAAAGAAAGAAACAGAATTATGGCAAAAATATGGGATGAAAATGAGACAGAAAGGAGATTATATACGTTTCAAAAATCTGTTATTGTTAAAATTATGGAGAAACACAGAAGGGAAGAGATAATTTATACTAGATTAAGAACTGGACATACTTATTTGAATTAGTTTTTGTTTGTACTAGGGAAGAGAAATAATGATATATGTGAGGGTTCTGAAAGAAAAGAAAATGTGGATCATGTTTTGATGGATTGCATTAAATATTCAACTGAAAGAGAGAGGATGAGGAAAGTAATTATGGAAAAAGGGAGAGATTGGTGTATTAAATTGGTTTTAGGGACAGATGGAGATAGGGAGGGAAATTTGGTTATTAATAAAGCATTGTTTTTTTAGTTTTTTTACATGTTTTTACATTTTTACATGACACAAAAATAAAAAGATATAATTTAGTAGGTGGAACTGTAGAGCTATCCACTCATGTACAGTAGGTGGCGGTATACACCTATAAGCTGTTTGTAATCCGTCAATCTAACAAAGAAGAAGAAGAATGTTTTTCATTTGGTCGCATCTAATTGGTCGGTTTCACCGAGTAGAGGAGTGACGCGTTTCTCGCGCGACTCACAATGTGGAAACCTGTTGCTGCATCAGTCATGGTGCTATATGTTTTAATTTGATGTATAAAAGAAAAAAAAACATTAGTTAATTTTCTACCAGGGCTCTGTTGTGAAAGGCAGCCCAGGTCTAAAAGTCGCTCCACGCGGACGTTTGAACCCGGCGGTCGGAGGAAATGCAGGTAAGGCCGAGCGTGGAGGCTCTGTGAGCCCCATGTTCTGCTGGGGGGTCAGTAGAAATGTAGCTCCGCAGCTAGCTCAGCTAAGCTAAGCTAAGCCGGGCTCCCCGCTTCATAACACGTGTCGAGCAGAGTGCGGCGTGGGCTGACGACCTGGAGAAAAGCAAACACATGAGAAGCTTTGGTGGACCACGTGTTTTGTCCTCCGCGGGGAAACCTTGTAGATGCGTGGGTTTCAGTGCAGACCTGCTCAGATAGTCAGGCTGGGAGGCAGTGATAGAGGGAAGGACAGACAGCATTGTTTACAGATAATATATGAAAGCTCAACCATTTATTCTGTTAAACTGGAATCTTAAATCAATGAGAGGGAAATGTATAGATTAACTGGTATTATCAGTGCGATTGTGTGATTCAGCAATGATGAAAATGTAAAAAGCATTTCATGTAACATGCTGCTGTCATTTTGCACATCTCTGATGTTGCTGCTATTTTCAGACATCCATTGCTGTGAAAATGTCTATAGCTTTCTCCAGGTGCACAGTTTTTATATTGTTAAAACATTTTATTGTTTATTTTTTTATTGTCTTTACACTGTCACAAGTACAGAGTGACGAAATGAACTCTCTGCATTTAACCCATCCCTTTGGGGAGCAGTGGCTGCCATTGTGCCGTGCCCGGGGAGCAGTGTGGGGTTAAGGGTCTTTGCTCAGAGACTCAGAGTGGAATTCTGTGGGAGTGAGGCTCGAACTCAGAACCTAGGGCTGGACGATATAGAAAAAAAGCTTATCGATTAAAAAAAATGCATATTGATCGATATCGATAATTATTGAAAAGATTTGAAACCATATTTTATGTGCAGCTCTGCCTGGACTTTTTATGATATTGCTAAGTTATTTAATTTTAATAAAGAACACAAACACAGACTTCCATTTACATCTTTATTTAACCAACTTTTTTAACCATAGCAGATAGGGATGGGACGATTTATGAAAACCGTCAGAACTGTTCGGTTCGACTGTCTCGGTTCGGTTCGCGTGTGTTTCGTTCGGTTCATACGCTGCTCCTTTTTCTCTTAGACGAAGCGATTACACTCCAGAGCAGAAGGTGGCGGTACTGCGACCAAAGCCAACCACCAGTAGTAAACAAGAAGAAGAAGAAGCAAAGCAGCGTAGCCAGGTGTAGCAGGGAAAAAAATCAGTTGTTGTGGAGAATTGTGTGGGTATGGCGAGTGGGAAAGAACAGGAGTTGGAAGACGCGCCAGCAGCACTTTATAGGTCTGCTGTATGGGAGCGCTTTGCATTTAGAGTGACCTACGATGACGGCGGAAAGAAAGTTGTGGATAAAAGTGCAACAGTGTGCAAGCATTGTGCAACACGTTTTGTTTATGCTAACAGCAACACGACCAACATGTCATGCTAACCCCGAAATCCCACATACTCCGTCAGCGCTCCGCCCCACTGCGCTCCAGACCGGCTGCACAAAGCAAAGCCTACAGCCTCCACTGTGGCTTCGTCCGCTCCCCTCTCTCTCCCTTGGACATGGTAGAGAGCATGCCCCAGATGATTAAATTCAAAGCAGCAAAACATACGGAAATGATCCAGGGTTTACGCGGATCTTTTAAAATAATTACAATCCATTATTTTTTGGGGGATTTTTTCATTAATTCCATAAATTTTTATGGGATTTCGGTGTAACAATCAACATATATCGAACCGAAAACCGTGACCAGAAACCGTGAATCGAACCGAACCGTGGATTTTGTGAATCGTTCCACCCCTAATAGCAGAATTGTTTTAAAGAAAAATAACTTAAGAGACCTGAGTTATGTTATTAAATACTGACAAAGAAAAAACTAAAGTGAGCAGAAAAGTGACCAAAATAAATTTAACAAATAAACACATAGAATACCCTATTTGGGTGGGAATAGTTCACCACCAGCTTGTGGTAATTAAAAGATTGTAGGACTAGGCTACCATGTAAACAAACTCCACTCAGCAAGAACAAAAACCCAAACAAAAATCAACTCACCCTTTAGCTGAGCATTTCTATGGGGTATTTTTTCTCACCCCCATTCTTCTAGAGGTGCTGCTGGCACTTTCAGTTTCCTGCTCTAACCTGAGTTATTACTTTGAAGTTGCTGGTACCTCAGCATTTTTCTGTTGTTCGAACTACGTGGGAAACCTTCTTTGGAACAATTTCCTCCGCCTCTCCTTGCTGCGACATCTTCATGTGCTCTGTGTTGTGGTTTGAGAGGGCGGTGCTTGGTGACGGCGTGCCTGGGTCCGCGATTGTGATTGGTTGGGAGGAAGTAGTGACTAGCATAAACCTGCATGATAGGCTACAATAGGAAGGAAGGAAAACTGCGTTTGTTTATCGAACTTTTATCGACCCTCTTTGTTTCTATTGCGCCACACGTCTATCGATCGATATATATCGTTATTGAATTATCGCCCAGCCCTAATCAGAACCTCTGGATTCCAGGCACAATGCCCTGACCCAAGGCCACCAGTCCCCAAAGGAGGTATTAGTGTGAAGGGTCTTGCCTAAGGACTAGTGTTGCAAGTTAATTGTCAACTAATTTAGTAATAGATTAATTGTTGTCTCGAGTGCAGAGACTATAAAACATACCTTTAGCAGAGCTACGCACTTAGAGCATTATTTCAAGATTATATATATATATATATATATATATATATATATATATATATATATATATATATATATATATATATATATATATATATATATATATATATATACATAAATGTTTCGCATTTAGGATAAAAAAAAAAAAAAATGTTTTCGTCTGTCAATGGGCTCCAGAACTCCTCAAGTGGAAATGTTTTAGTTTCATCTGGTTTTAACCTCTATAATAATAAACGCTCCGACTCCTCAATGTGAAAATAATGGCATGTGCAGGAAATGCAACAGACCTAATTGTCATTTATTTACTGACAAAATCACATCACATATTACTTTTTTATGAAATATTTTTTTAATACAGTGGCAAGATTACCACCGGTGCTGCCACCCTCTGGTTTTAGGAGGGAACTGCTTTTTCCACCAAATAATATAAAAGAATCTTAAAGAATTCCTGTGTCGGGATTAACACCAAAAATTAATGGATTGTTCCTTGGCATCTCAGGTTTAAAAAATAAATAAATAACTTTTCACAACTTTTCTGGTAATCCTGATGACAAACAGCTGATGCGACTAAACATAATCTCCTTGATGGAGGGAATAAAAGATCTCCAGAAAAGTAGAATCTTCTTTAAGTGATCAGAGATTATGAAAATAAGGATCCTCTGGTGAGCTTTTTCCACACAGTCCACATTGAGGTCAAAGGTCAGCCTATCATCACTCGCTGGCCCCAGATACTTGTAGTGATTAGGAAATTAAATTTCTGTTTGCAGATTAGTGTAACTCCTCCTGAAGTCTGTGACCATCTCCCTAAGTTTCTGTTCTGTGTTGCAGCATCGGTGTCGGTACCAAGAAAAACACCTGAGTTACTACGGCAACCATTCACCCTGATCTGTTGCTTTTCAGGGAGCCTGGAGCATCAAAGGGAGGCCGACAGCCAGGACCATGGTGGGAACTGTTGGAATCTGTTCGCCCCGGATGAGAAACCAGTAGCTCCGGGTTGGGTGCCGCCGGCTGTGGGCTGCTCCTCTCACATGTGTCGCTTTGTCAGACAAAAGGCTTCCCACTGTTGCACGGCCACATGTGAGTTCACGTGGTTCGGTTTCTGCCAGATGCAGCCGACGAAGAACTACTGCAGGAAGGGACTGCGCCCGAGCAGGAGGCGGGGGCTAATGTCTTCCGTTAAGGGGGTGTCCCATCTGCCCAGGCGGGACAAAAGACGCTCCTATTATAGGATACAGTTCTGGCTGTGGAGGAAGAGGAGCGAGAGGTGCGGTTTTTGGATATTCCGTCGGAGTCGAAGGCGCGGCTCCGGGGGCCGTGCCGGCTCGGGCCCTCAGCTTAATTTGGAGTTGCAGGAAAGTCAAGTCCTCAAGTGCCCCTTAAAGAACAAAAAAAACTCAAAGGTAAGAACCCCAGCTCCGGTGTCGACTCTCCAACATGATGCTGGAGGTTCTGGAGGGGCCTCTAGGGGACGGAATTGTCTGCCGCCAGGGGGCCCACCAGGCAGTGTCTCAGTGGTTCGCTGTGGGTCGGATCTGTCTTCAGGGACCATCAGCGAGACAACCTCACCGACGTCAGCATCGCTCTCCCAGAGCAGTGAAGGTTCTCTGGAGCCTGAATGCATCTCCCACACTCTACCCCCCCTGCAGGAGGCAGAGAGTACTGCAGCTGCAGGGATTGAACCCGTTAGGTTACAGGAAGCGCAGACGGATGCTCCTTTAGAAGAGCACAGTCCTGTCCTTCAACACACCCCGACAGAAACGCCAACCTCCTGTCTGAATAATGCTGACATCAACAGTCTACCTAGAGAGATCCAAGGTGAGTCCAACGTTCCCTTCATGTGGTTTTATTAGGTTTCCACAGAGGTTCATGGCATTCCAGCTAAAATACAAGTAAATGAATCTGTAATCTCTTATTATAGCAGATATGCTGGTAAATATTTACATATTTTTGCAGCTAGAGCTGGACACTGAACATTTATAACACGGCTGCAAGATATTAGGAAATCATGCATTGATGGAGTTGCTTTTAAATACTGTTGAAAAGGCAGCCTTTATCCTCATGTGCTCATCTCAATGCATTAAATGCGTCTCATGACCTGAGGCATCTGTTTTTTTTGGCGGAGGCTGATTATCCTTGCATAAAATGGCCTAACAGCTCTGCTTTTTACTCTGGGTTAGGGTTTATATTATAGGGGATATATTATTCGTTTGCTTGGAAAGTACCCTAAGCTTTTTTGTTGTTCTTTATAGGGGTGTAAATAATAATCGTTTTGTATCGATGCATCGATCCAACAGACCTGTTTGGATTCAGAGCCAAAACTCTTCTGGTCTCCTTATTTTCAAGGACTTCGAAGGATCCAGTCTAGGTAGACCGCGTCCTTGGAGGATGCAGCGCAGGATTTCGAACAGAGCCTTTGTTTGCATTTTTCTTTTGTTCTTGATCTAAAAATGTAACAATGGGGCCTAAATTCTCAGCTTTAAAACGGAGCTGCAGGATCATGTGACTTCAACTCATTCATCCTATTGGTGCAGAATTCTTTCGTATTGACATTAAAGGAATAGTACACCCAAAACATAATTAGCCTTCATTTTCTACTCACCCCCATGCTGAACAACACTCTGAAGTACTTTTTTGATATCTCAAATGCATCTGGAGATCTGGGAGGCTTCTTGCTGTCTGCTGACATTCAAATAATGGAGGTCTATGGCGCCCGAGGCAGAAAGGTCCATAAAAGTCCACAAAAAACGTGTCAATATTCCTCCATACTGCTCGTCCAATGTATTCCAAGTGTCCTGAGTGGGTAGCGTCCAGAATTTACTCGAAACGAAGTCATTTAGAATGTTTTTAGAGCATAAACAGTAGTGTATAGGATTTCCTGAAAGCGCGCGCCTGCGCGTTCACGACGCTACGGAAACCGCGGCAGACCAAACCAGATGAAAGTGCGCATTCAGCTCGGCAAAGAACTCATGCTCTTCCGCAACACTGAAGTCCTCAGACATTTTTCTTTCGTTGTTTCTTTCTTTGCACAGGTAAACGGCACATTTCTTCTTCTACGCTTGAATTATTGGCAGAGCAGACGCTGAATGCGCACTTTCATCTGGTTTGGTCTGCCGCGGTTTCCGTAGACTCATGAACGCGCTTTTAGGAAATCCTATACACTACTGTTTATGCTTTAAAAACTTTCTAAATGACTTCGTTTCGAGTAAATTCTGGATGCTACCCACTCAGGACACTTGGAATACATTGGACGAGCAGTATGGAGGAATATTGACACGTTTTTTTTGGACTTTTATGGACCTTTCTGCCTCGGGCGCCATAGACCTCCATTATTTGAATGTCAGCAGACAGCAAGAAGCCTTTGGGTGTACTATTCCTTTAACATCCTAACAGGAAGTAAATATTTACCTTTTTTCAACCCGTCAAAACTTATAATAATTATAATAATAATTTGTATAAAAAAAAAAAAAACTGTTTTGATAAAAAGTTTGTAGCTATGACCTTTAACACGAATCCCTGTTTTTAAAACCATCCGCTGAGGCCGTCACAGAATCCCACAGCCGCCTGATTAAATAACCAGTTTCTGTTTCTAATGTGAAATACATGGTTTCAATATTTTTTCTCTTTTTTTTATGGGATGATGCTTTGTGTGTGTTTTTCCAGACTTCATGGAAGGCTTCTACAGAAGATATGGAAGTTTCATCCCTCTGCGTAAGAGCGACGTGTTGAAACACCTGAGGAGGAAGTTTAAATCTAAATTCAGTGACAGGTAAAAAGGCTTCAGTCGTTCCAGACGGGCGCCGTGTTGATAGATGGATCTAAAACCAGTCTGCGTCAAACTGTGTGCAGCAAAAGCCTGATCGCCTCTGAGGTTGACAGATGCAGAGCCGTCCTCCAGAACTCCGCCCCTGCTTTCCGGATCACCTATAAGAAGCACATCCTGACGCTGGAGGACCTGCAGACGCTGGCTGATGAGAACTGGCTCAATGACCAGGTTGTTACCAAACCCTCTGCCCTGCTAAAGCCTTTTTTTTTTTTCTACTTTTAACCATTATGCATTTATTTTTCTCTGGACTGAAGGTCATGAACATGTATGGAGAGCTGATCATGGAGTCATCCCATCACAAGGTAAACTGTGTTATCTCCCACCTACATTTTTCCTTACCGCATGCATGCATTCCTAGCAGTCGTTACGCTACATCTATGTTCTTTACAAAAAGAGTATCAAACTGCTCAGACCCAGATGTGTTTGTTGCAGGCCAGTCCATCACAGTAGTGTCAGAGTATAAATATCTTGGACTCATTCTGGATTCAAGTTTCACATTTAAAAAACATGTAAAGAAAGTCACTCAAACAGTCAAACTCAACCTTGTAAATAGGGGTGGGTATTGCCAAAGAAGTCACGATGCGATTCTATCACGATGCATCACGATACTTGAATTATTGTGATGCATTGCAATATTTTCTCCTCCATGTTTTGTTTTTGAATGATTCGGCGCAGTAGAAATGCTTGTGACACAAGGCAGTGTGCATCAACACATCCGCAGCGACATCTACTGGACTGGAAGTTGTATTACACTTGTTTTTGGCTGATGTTCGCCAACCATTCATGCAATTTTATTTACTAATTTTTTTAAATTAATAATCGATACTTGGTGTCAGGAATCGATGCAGTAGATCATGAAAATTAGAATCACGATGCATCATCATCACGATTATTTTGCACACCCCTACTTGTAAACTTCAGATACATAAGAAATAATCTGAACACAGATGCAGCAAAATAGTTTTTTAACGCAATGATTATGCCTCATTTAACATACTGTCTTAGCAGCTGGTCACAGGGCTGTAAAACAACATTAAAACCAATCCAGTCTGTCTACAAGCAGGCTCTAAAGGTTTTGGACAGGAAACCCTTTCGTTTTCATCATTGTAGTATACTGGACAAACATGTCCAGTTAAACTGGGAAAATTTAGTTACATTTCATGATGCAAATCTGGTCTTTAAAATTTTACATGGCTTTGCTCCACCACCACTTACCGCTTTTTTCACACAAGGTAGCAGACTCACCAGATCTGTCTCTTCTAATAACCTTACAGTCCCACTGAGAAAAAGCTCATTTGGTCAGTCAGCCTTCTCAGTGCGAGCAGCTCAGTCCTGGAACACCATTCCAACTCATATACGCAATGCAGACACATACAGAACTTTCAAAAACATGTTAAAAGCATGGTTACAGGAGAATCAAACCTGTAATCATAATCAATAACTTCTGTCTGCCTGTCTGATGCACTTTTGTCAATGCTTTTTAAATCTTATATTTGTAATAACGTCTTTGTTTTTTACAGATCAATGTCCAACTTTTATGTAGATTACTAACTATGTATTTTATTGTTTGCACTAATTTTTAATGTTGTTGTTTTTATTATGTTGGCATTTTAAACCTTGCCCAGGGACTACAGTTGAAAATTAGCTACTTAACTAACACTGGCTCATTTACAGAAATGTTTATTAATGTGCACTGTCCCTGTTCAAATAAACACATAAATCGAAAAAAATAAAAAATACATGATTGGCTGATTGTTGCCACATGATGTAAAACATTGTGGTTGCCTAGAAAACGATAATATCATCACACAGCGTCCGTTAGCGTGTCTAATGATTGATTAAGTTTTACCTAATCGATAACAAAAGTGAAAACTGTTTCTGGTGAACAAAGTAACTGTTAGAGTCTAACAGTTACTGAGGACTGAAAAATGTCTGAGGACTTCAGTGTTGCGGAAGAGCATGAGTTCTTTGCCGAGCTGAATGCGCACTTTCATCTGGTTTGGTCTGCCGCGGTTTCCGTAGCGTCGTGAACGCGCAGGCGCGCGCTTTCAGGAAATCCTATACACTTCTGTTTATGCTCTAAAAACATTCTAAATGACTTCGTTTCGAGTAAATTCTGGACGCTACCCACTCAGGACACTTGGAATACATTGGACGAGCAGTATGGAGGAATATTGACACGTTTTTTGTGGACTTTTATGGACCTTTCTGCCTCGGGCACCATAGACCTCCATTATTTGAATGTCAGCAGACAGCAAGAAGCCTCCCAGATCTCCAGATACATTTGAGATATCAAAAAAGTACTCCAGAGTGTTGTTCAGCATGGGGGTGAGTAGAAAATGAAGGCTAATCATGTTTTGGGTGTACTATTCCTTTAATAGCGGCTAAAATGTATATAAATAGCTAAATAATTTACTATAATATATACCGGTATCAATAGCTTTAGCGTTTTTTATAAGATGGAAAAGAATGAGATTAAAAGAACCAGAAATATGTTTTAAGAGACATTTTTCTATTAATTAGCTTGAAAATTGTACGTTTTAACATTAAGAATATATGAATTGATTGTTAGAGATGGCAACAACTAATTTCCTATACAAGAAAAAAAAAAAAAGGTTTTCTATAAAAAGTTATGGTATATTTTACGGCTCTAAACAACTTTTATTCAGTTGTACTCTTGGCAAAACGGCTCTTTGGATATGAAAGGTTGCAGACCCCTTTGTTAGACCGTGATATAAAGGTGGGGAGCTGGGTAGCGATGTAGCTAGCTGTGCTCAGTATAGGGGTGTAAATCACATCCATCATGGCGATTCGATTCAGTATCGATTTCCTGACCCAACGATTCGATTATTTTCGATACTCAAGAATACACCACGATACGACTGGATTTGATTAATTGGTTCTTTTTACACCTTAAAGGCTTGACAGTGTTTCAAATTTGAAATAAATCAATGAAAGCTGTAATATCGTTATGCATTTTTTTTTTAGAAACAACAGCAAATAACAGAAGTAGAAAAGTTGCATCAAAAAATACTGCACGAAATCAGTGCAATGAGTGCAATGCAATACCTCAGCTGCGGAAGTCCCGCCCCCTCCAGAGACGCTCCGCTGCTCCTCCCTCAAATTGTAGCTGACGGCAGACAGGAGGTCGGCTTGTTTTGTTTTTATGACCGAAATTGTGGAAAACAACTCATGAAGTTTAAACCCGCTAGAAGAGCGAGGTGCGCGAGAACGCAGGGACCCTTTTTCCACCTGGATCTCCGCTCTTTTTGGCCCTCACGTCCCTCCGTTGTCGGACTAAACTCGCCCCCACTTCCTCACCGCCTCGGCCGTAGGGGTGGGTATTGGCAAAGAAGTCATGATTCGATTCGAATCACGATTCACATGCCACGATGCGATTCTATCACGATGCATCACGATACTTGAAATATTGCGATGCATTGCGATATTTTCACTGAACACTAAGAAAAAGATACAGCCCTTACCAGTGGCTGACTGGCTGGGTATGATCTGGATGGTGTCTTTAATTGATACATAACTGAAAGCAACTGAATTCATACATAGCTGTATTTATCGAAACGAATTTTGGAGGTGTTGCGATGAAAACAAATACTGGACAGAAATATTACTATTACACACTGACAAAAAGATCTTAGGATTCAACTTAAAATAACAAAATAAGGACAATCAGTACCGTTCACATGGCCTCAGTGGTCCTTTTGCAAATTACGTTCATCATATCAATTTCATTTTTACCTTCTTTGTTTTTAAAGCCAAAATGCATCCAAGCGGGGCGAATTTTCTCAGTCTCCTCCATATTTTGTTTACGAATGACTCGTCTCAGTATCCCGCGGACGGAAATGCTTGTGACACAAGGCAGCATGCGTCAACACATCCGCAGCGACATCTGCTGGACTGGAAGTTGTATTCCACTTGATTTTGCTGATGTGCGCCAACCATTCATGTATTTTATTTGTTCATTATTTATTTATTTTTTTTATAATCAATTCTTGCCTTCAAGAATCGATGCAGTAGATCACAAAAATTAGAATTGTGATGCATTGTTATGGCAATTATTTTGCACACCCTTACTCGGCCGTATCTAGACCCACAGCGTGTAGAACAGACTACGCTTCAATATTGAGCATAAATAAAAAATGTCTGCATCAAGCTCACTGCAACACACTGTTGTAAGAGTATAACCAGGAAGCGCGGTAGGAGGGCAAAATAGGTTTAGCGCCACCGCAGCACGGGAGGGAGAACTACGTCCAGGAGCAAATGGATAAAAATAGACCGGAGAAAAAAAAACATGAATCGATTCTCTTGCGGACGTATCGATGCATCGGATCGTCGGCTGTTGGATCGATGCATCGATACAAAACGATTTACACCCCTAGCTCAGTAGCTAACAGGTTAGCCTCTTTTAGCTCGGTCAGTTAGCCATATTAAGCTGCACTACTATTAAATTCATGTCAACAACAACCAATCGTTTTCTACCAGTAGAACAACTGTTTTCTTTGTCTAAAATCTCTATGAAAGTCATTTTTTAGGATGTCCCTTTCGTTCTCTGCTCTCAGATCTTAATAAAAAGAATAAAAATAAACTGAGCGCTTTGTGTCACCTTGTTAAATGACAGAACTCAGTCTGTCTTAGAAGGCAGCACTTTCCTTTGAGACTGACGATGACTGTTTTCTACTTTTGTCTACTTATATCGCCAATGAAATGTAAAATACTAGCAAATATAGGTAATACAGATTTGATCCTTAAGAGACGGGTAAATGTGGTTCGTCCGAATGGCCTTGCCGTATATTAATGTCATAAGTAGCGGCAGGGTCCAGAGGAGGTCTGGTTCCTACACCGGTGTTAATGCAATGAAAACCCTTCCTGTTTGTCAGTCTCTCTAATGCCTGTGAAAATGTTTTGTTTCCACTTCAAGGTCCATTTCCTCAACAGTTTCTTCCACCGGCAGCTCATGACCAAAGGATATGACGGTGTGAGGCGATGGACGAAGCAGGTTAGACGTTGAACAGAAATTATACACTTAGAAAGTAAAAAAAAACTGCATCTTTAGGTCAGATCTGCCATATTAATCTATATACGATGGATCTAGAAATGTGTTTTCTATAGAATTAATCTACAGGTGGAAGTTTGCAGCTGTTAGTGTTAGTTTCTACGGTGGCCCTGAAGTGCAAACTGCAACTACAAATCTAAAAGCGCAACTTCATTAAGGAAAACACAATTACATTAACCTACCGGAAAAGGTAGGTACCAGTGGGAAACATGGACATCGCTGATTGGACGACGGCGCCGTTTGACCCTTGAACCGGAAGTCATTCTGCCTGCTGCTGCTTTTGAAAACATGGATATTGTCGGCGCCCCAAACATAGCTGCCGATATCCAGGAATATATTGAATCAGGACATAAATTAGTTTGCGTACACTGAAGACACACTTAAAAGAAGCTGGACTGTTCAGGCGACGCAACTTCCGGTTCAAGGGTCAAACGGCGCCGTCATCCAATCAGCGATGTCTCATGTTTCTCACTGGTACCTACCTTTTCCGGTAGGTTAATGTAATTGTGTTTTTCTTAATGTAGTTGTGCTTTGCTTTATGTAGTTGCGATTTCCTTAATGTAGTTGTGCTTTGCTTTATGTAGTTGCGATTTCCTTAATGTAGTTGCGCTTTTAGATTTGTAGTTGCAGTTTGCACTTCAGGGCCGCCGTACGTTTCACTCTTCAGCCCAGCAACACTGTGCCACTTGCCAAGATTTAAATAGTTTTTACAATTTTTATTCTTTTTTAGTTTTTGAATCCTATTTTTCAACGCTTTTAGTGTTTATTTGATTTTATATGTTCGCTAGATTAGTTTTATTCAAAAGAAATAGAAATAAATTCCCAGATAAGGACGGAACGCTGCAGCAACACAAATGACTGTAGTACCTAATGCGGTATGTAATGCGAAAAAGTGAAAACAACAACCGAAGACTATATTTATATTAATGCATTATGATAGAGACACAAATGGAAAAACTAAGCACATTCTATCTTAAAATAAAGTTTAGTTTAATTAGTTTTGTAAATTCTTATTACAGTTTCACCTAGCTTTGTTTGTTTTGTTTTTTTTCCAGTATCTGATTCTTATTTTTATTTCAGTTAACAGAGTTTGTTTTAATTCTTGTTTTTATTTTATTAGTTTTAGTTAACAATAATAACCTTGGCACTCACTCACTGATGCCCTCTGTTATCATCTGAGCGCACTCAGAAGATTCCTGATACCGGTCTCATTGATCATCTGGATAATCTGAACTATCAGATTTCCAGAGCTACTAAGACTACATTCACACTGCAGGCCTTAGTGCTCAATTTAAAATTTTTGTGAAATTCCATACGTTTTTCAGCGTTGTCGTTCACTTTTCCAAATATATGCGACTGTGTCTTAAAGGAATAGTACACCCAAAACATGATTAGCCTTCATTTTCTACTCACCCCCATGCTGAACAACACTCTGGAGTACTTTTTTGATATCTCAAATGCATCTGGAGATCTGGGAGGCTTCTTGCTGTCTGCTGACATTCAAATAATGGAGGTCTATGGTGCCCGAGGCAGAAAGGTCCATAAAAGTCCACAAAAAACGTGTCAATATTCCTCCATACTGCTCGTCCAATGTATTCCAAGTGTCCTGAGCGGGTAGCGTCCATAATTTACTCGAAACGAAGTCATTTAGAATGTTTTTAGAGCATAAACAGTAGTGTATAGGTTTTCCTAAAAGCGAGTTCACGAGTCTACGGAAACCGCGGCAGACCAAACTAGACGAAAGTGCGCATTCAGCGTCTGCTCTGCCGATAATGCAAGCGTAGAAAAAGAAATGTGCTGTTTACTTGTGCAAAGAAAGAAACAACGAAAGAAAAATGTCTGAGGACTTCAGTGTTGAGGAAGAGCATGAGTTCTCTGCCGAGCTAAATTCGCACTTTCATCTGGCTTGGTCTGCCGCGGTTTCAGTAGGCTCGTGAACGCGCTTTTAGGAAATACTATACACTACTGTTTATGCTCTAAAAACATTCTAAATGACTTCATGTCCCTCGTGCGCACTAAAGGGAATGATGACGTCACAAGCCAGCATGCTCTGTGTTTACAGAAGTAAACATGGATGCTGCTGCTAAACACAAACACGCTTTTTTCTACGTTTGTTTTGGTTTCTTTCAGGGTTTGGTGGATTTTTTGACAAAGACATTTTAATTACATCAGGATCATGAATCAACCTTTAGGAGGGATGTTCTAGCTCAAGACATTTCCATTTCTAAGGTGCAGCAGTGATCAAATTTAAACATGGTGATCAAATGTAAACATAAGACTGGCATGAAATAATAAGGTTTGAGCTGCTAACAGATGTGTGACGGCGGAAGCATTGATCCGGTCTGTCTGTCTCAGGTGGATCTGTTCTCTAAGAGTCTTCTTCTGGTGCCCATCCACCTGGAGGTTCACTGGTGTCTGGTTACAGCCGACATCTCCGCCAAGAAGATCTGCCTTTACGATTCTCAAGGCCATTCGCTCCAGAAGGTCGCACGGGTAACAAAAACCACATTTCTTCTTTGTTGAATGTCTTTGGAAGATTTTCTTCAGTTCTTTTGGAAAATCAGACTTGCTGTTTTTGTCCTCGTTTGCTTGGAACAGAACATCCTGAAGTACTTAATGTCGGAAGCAAGAGAGAAGAAACAAGCGGCTTTTGAAGACGGCTGGACGCTGTCTATAGACGAGGTATGAGGAACTGAGCTGCATCCTTTAGGAAAAGACTCAAATTCTTTTTGAAATTGTTTTACTACATTATCAGGGGTTGACGTTAAAGGAATAGTACACCCAAAACATGATTAGCCTTCATTTTCTACTCACCCCCATGTTGAACAACACTCTGGAGTACTTTTTTGATATCTCAAATGCATCTGGAGATCTGGGAGGCTTCTTGCTGTCTGCTGACATTCAAATAATGGAGGTCTATGGTGCCCGAGACAGAAAGGTCCATAAAAGTCCACAAAAAACGTGTCAATATTCCTCCATACTGCTCGTCCAATGTATTCCAAGTGTCCTGAGTGGGTAGCGTCCATAATTTACTCGAAACGAAGTCATTTAGAATGTTTTTAGAGCATAAACAGTAGTGTATAGGATTTCCTGAAAGCGCGTGCCGGCGAATTCATGACGCTACGGAAGCCGGCAGACCAAACCAGATGAAAGTGCGCATTCAGCTCGGCAAAGAACTCATGCTCTTCCTCAACACTGAAGTCCTCAGACATTTTTCTTTCGTTGTTTCTTTCTTTGCACAGGTAAACGGCACATTTCTTCTTCTATGCTTGCATTATCGGCAGAGCAGACGCTGAATGCGCACTTTCATCTGGTTTAGTCTGCCGGCTTCCGTAGCGTCGTGAACGTGCTGGCGCCCGCTTTCAGGAAATCCTATACACTACTGTTTATGCTCTAAAAACATTCTAAATGACTTCCTTTCGAGTAAATTATGGACGCTACCCACTCAGGACACTTGGAATACATTGGACGAGCAGTATGGAGGAATATTGACACGTTTTTTGTGGACTTTTATGGACCTTTCTGTCTCGGTCACCATAGACCTCCATTATTTGAATGTCAGCAGACAGCAAGAAGCCTCCCAGATCTCCAGATGCATTTGAGATATCAAAAAAGTACTCCAGAGTGTTGTTCAGCATGGGGGTGAGTAGAAAATGAAGGCTAATCATGTTTTGGGTGTACTATTCCTTTAAGGATTTTTACCACTTGCCCAAAGGGCAAGTGACTTTCAAATTTCATTTGCCCAGAAACTATTTTTACTTGCCCAGTATAATGTTTGATAAATATAGTTCCTAATATTCATCTTTGTATATATATCAATGAAACATGTTTGTTTTTTAAATGTTTTTTTGTAATTCAGTAAGTTTCCAGGGTGTGTATCTGCATGCGTCAGATAATGAACTCCAGCCTACATTACCGTGTTAACATGCTTTTCAATCCTTCCTGCACATTCTTTTCAAACTAAACTTTGCCTTAAACTGTTGTGTGCTTGGAAAAATATAAATTGTAATGTTAAAAATCTAACAAAACTTGACAGGTTAAAAACTTAAACTGCTACTACTCACTAATTTAACATGTTTAGCTCTATAACATTTAAATGCACCACTCCAATGTCTAAGAGAAAAAAAATTTAATGAAAATTTTTTAATGTATGACCTGCATCACTGTACAGACGACTGCCATATAATAGTAATATTTACACTGTGCGCATACAATTATTATTATTATTTTTTGATCATTTTTAATCTAGCGTGTGTTATACTATAGATTAAATTCATCATCCAGCTGCTGCTCTGCACAATTCTCTCCCCAAGAGCTGAATCACGCCATCTAGCGGAAAAACACGCGGCTTTTTTCAAATCACGCGAGAATATGTACAAAACAACAAAAATGGCGCCGGCAACGATTGTGGGTCGTTTTCAACGAATGTCGGTGATTTTAAAGTAATTTTGAGTGATAAATTTTTTTTTTTTTGCGATCACAATGAAATTTGTACTCTCCCAACAATAAAAACTACATTTCCAGAAATGCTTTTTCATTTTTAAATTTTACATTTCAAATTGAATTTTGGTATGTATTTGCTGGGGTACATTTTGAAAAATAAATCTCAAATTTTTTTTTTCTTTTTCATTTTAATTAAGTAAAAGGATGAGCAGTGTTAAAGAAGAAAATGCAAATGCAAACAGGATTATTGATTACTAATTTCATTCATGAGTCAAACAATGCAGCCACATTCTTAAAATGAAAAAGCATTTCTGGAAGTGCTTTTTCATTTGAAATATGGTAACAATTTGCTTCCATAAATTTGAGCAGCTAAATAAGATGATCTGCCCATAAAATGAGTATTTTTACCCTTAGAATAAGAAAATTAAATATTATTCACTAGTTGGGGGGGCAATAATTTTTTTTTTTCACATTTTAAATGTAAATGATCTAATTCCATTGGTAAACTGTGTTACTTGCGTTATTCAAGAGAAAAGGACACTGGAAATGTTCCCTGCTTCTGATCGGCTCGCTCCATGAGGCAACACTAATGATGAGTCATGATTATAGGTCATTCTTTACATGATGTTTGTTCTCCCTCTGCTGTTCTTCACAGAATATCCCACAACAGACCAATGAGAACGACTGTGGAGTCTTTGTCTTAGAGGTATGTCCTCCGCTTGTAAGCTTTCATTCTTTTGACCAAAGCTTGTTGAAAGGCTGCATCTAAACTAGCTGCAGGTGGTTTGATGATCACCAATCAGTGCATTAACCCAACGTAAGGGTGGAAAGGCATCAGTACCGTGATTTCCAAAGTTTAATTCCTCCCTGCCCAGGGTTCCCGCAGGTCCTTAAAAAGTCTTAAAAGGCATTGAATTCTTCAAAATAAAACTAAGGCCTTATTGGTATTAAAATGTCTTAAATCAGTCTTTCGTAGGTCTTAATTTTTAAAACATAAATAGGATCATTTTTATTACGATTTATTTTTGTAATCTAAATAAAACATTAAAATTGACAATTATTTTAATTTAAAAAATAACGGCTCGCCATTATCGGTTCCGTCCCGATAATGGAACCATTAAAAGCCGGGACATTTGGGAGATGCGCCATTAACCTTTTGTCTGAAAAAAATAAGAGCAAGTGTAAATGTAACCAAAATTGTCTCCAGCCAAGAGTTTCCTCCATGGCTAAAACCAGGGAACATACATGAGGCTCAGTGGATTTTGTGTAAGAAGCGATTCGAGCTCAGAACGATGGGAATTAAGGCAGTGGAGTCGCACATGCGAAGCACGAAACACAAAGCGTCAAAATGGAGTTACAGAGAAACAGCCGGTATTTCTCAGTTTAGTTCCACCCTTGTCTCTGCAACGCCTCCACTTATCACCAAATCAAACATACAAAGAAAAATAGCTGCAAAAAAGACTTAGCACTGGTTATGTTGGGGCTTTAAAACTGATTTGTTTTGTTCCCTGCTAAAACAAAGTTTGTGAATTCAGTTAAATAATTGTTAAAATTAGGGATGCACGATATAATCGGCCCCCTATCGGTATCGGCCTGTATCGGCCTTAAAACTGAATATTGAACATCGGCCTCCCCACCGATATTTAATCCGATATTTGATCAGCTTCTGAGTTCCTAAAGTCTAAAAACAAAAAACAAAAAAAAAACTACTACTTCTTCTTCCTCAAAAACTTCTTTTTTACAGATTTAAAAACTTCTAAAGACGAGGGAAAAAATATTGATACATTAAAATATCACAAGATCTTCATATGCTGATATATTGCCATTTAAAAACACCATATCAATCTCTTTTACTAATGAAATATTGCTATATGTCATCGTTATGCTACGAAATCCCCAGAAAATTCGCAAAATTTTGCCATATTTTTTATGTTGATATATTGACGCGGTATCGATCCATTTTACTAACAAAATCTCACAAGAATTTGCAAAATATCACGAGAGTTTGTAACAGAACGATGAGATTTCACGAGATTTTGAAAGTAAAATAGATCGATACCGTGTTTTTAAAAATCAATTTGATATCAGCTTATGAAAATATATTAGAGTATATTATTTTTCAAAGTGTCAGAAATGGATAACAAAACTGCTATTTTCAATGACTACTTATTTTTGTCCAGCTTTAACATCGGTGTCGATATCGGTTATCGGCTACATGAGTTTTAAAATATCGGATATCGGTCAAAATCCCAATATCGTGCATCCCTAGTTAAAATATATCTGTGATTTGAGTGTTTTTAGCTTTCTTCCTGTATGGGAAGCTTTTAAAAATTTTAAAAATTAGTACAGTGGTTTATGTTAAAATAAACCTTTGGGTTAATTTGTCGCAAGCAGGTTTTTTTGTGTTTCTTGTGAATTTGGTCTTAAATTTTTATTTCAATTGGCATTAAAAAGTCTCGAATTTAACTTGCTTTATGTTGTAGGAACCCTGAGTTTAAACTCTATTGTTTCTTTTGTTTTTCTGTTATTTCCCAGTACTCCAGATGTCTGGCTCTGTCGAGGCCGTTCCAGTTTTCCCAGCAGGACATCCCAAAGATACGAAAGAGGATCTATAAAGAACTGTGTGACTGTAAGCTTCATGAGCAGGACTGATGAAGCCTCTGCCCAGTAGAGACGAGCAGCCGTCCATGTCTGAGTTCCACTCTCCGTGTCGGAACAGGGGAAAGGATCCTTACCTCTGCTGGGATTGATGTATTAATGCGATCGCTATTTAATCAGAAGTGTAATTTAAGTGAAAAGGATCTCTGAAGTACACCAAAAAAGCCTTATTCATTCAGTTTTCTCCCCAACGGTTGATACCTCATGCTCTATTTCACAAGCTTTATAGTTTCTTTCTGCAGAATGTCTGTTTCACCCAGAAATAATGATAAAGTTTTACGAAAAACTCTGAAATATGTCACTTTATTTGAAGTCGAATTTCAGGTAATGGATACACAGCATGTGGAAATCCCTCTATTGGTTTATAGATGGTTACAAGATGACTAAAATAATTAGTTCTTTATAACTTCAAAGATTAAAAACATATTTAAACAAAGACTGTGTAAATGTTCATGAATGAAAACCCAAAGTTTAGCTTCCTCATAAATTAGACCAATAAAAGAGGATTTTATAAGAGAAATCGGGGCCAAAAAGGAAGTATGCACGCAACGTCTGCATGCTTGCTTTATCAGTGCAGCGTGAGATGCAGATCATCCTTATTTTCTTTGCAGGGTTTGTTGCTGGTGACTACAGCAGCAGGTAGTGCTGATTAATGGCCATGTTAGCTTGTAACAAGTCGACATGATAAATCATGAAATCTGTGGCAACATCTCAGTGAACCCGAAGCTGCTTCTACGCTACCTTCACTCTTCCTCCTGCCTCTGGGACCAAATAACATGAAATTTAAAACACAAATCGCAGGTAAAATGCTTCTGATAGCTCTTCAGGAATCGCCTTAAAGGAATAGTACACCCAAAACATGATTAGCCTTCATTTTCTACTCACCCCCATGCTGAACAACACTCTGAAGTACTTTTTTGATATCTCAAATGCATCTGGAGATCTGGGAGGCTTCTTGCTGTCTGCTGACATTCAAATAATGGAGGTCTATGGTGACCGAGGCAGAAAGGTCCATAAAAGTCCACAAAAAAACGTGTCAATATTCCTCCATACTGCTCGTCCAATGTATTCCAAGTGTCCTGAGTGGGTAGCGTCCAGAATTTACTCGAAACGAAGTCATTTAGAATGTTTTTAGAGCATAAACAGTAGTGTATAGGATTTCCTGAAAGCGCGTTCACGACGCTACGGAAGCCGGCAGACCAAACCAGATGAAAGTGCGCATTCAGCGTCTGCTCTGCCAATAATGCAAGCGTAGCAGAAGAAATGTGCTGTTTACCTGTGCAAAGAAAGAAACAACGAAAGAAAAATGTCTGAGGACTTCAGTGTTGAGGAAGAGCATGAGTTCTTTGCCGAGCTAAATGCGCACTTTCATCTGGTTTGGTCTGCCGCGGTTTCCGTAGACTCGTGAACTCGGCGTGCGCTTTCAGGAAATCCTATACACTACTGTTTATGCTCTAAAAACATTCTAAATGACTTTGTTTCGAGTAAATTCTGGATGCTACCCACTCATGACACTTGGAATACATTGGACGAGCAGTATGGAGGAATATTGACACGTTTTTTGTGGACTTTTATGGACCTTTCTGCCTCGGGCGCCATAGACCTCCATTATTTGAATGTCAGCAGACAGCAAGAAGCCTCCCAGATCTCCAGATGCATTTGAGATATCAAAAAAGTACTCCAGAGTGTTGTTCAGCATGGGGGTGAGTAGAAAATGAAGGCTAATCATGTTTTGGGTGTACTATTCCTTTAAATGCAGCAGCCAGCATCTTTAGCAGTACCTGCTGCTGCTGGATGTCTGCAGGATAAGGCCTTTCATCGACATCTTTCTGTAGAACTTTTTATAAAAAAAACAAACTTTGGGGTAATTAACTGTTCACCATTTTAATCAAAAATAATAGAATTATAGGCTCAAAATAATTAATTTTGTCATATTAATATTTAAAATGTATAGTATGAGCATCGTTACATTTCCAGTTCATTACGATAGAAGTTGTAGTCGGAGAAACAGTAAATATATTTTTATTGATGTTCACTGCAACTGTTTTCAGATCTTTTCAGCTTCTTTTGAAACATCTCTGTTGAGCTGAGGTCAGAAAAACATGAAAGAAGTTCATATGGGTTCATATCTGACAACACAGAGTCATGGAAGCTGATTTGTGGCTCCTACATTCTGTGTTTGGAGGACTTCCTGATTTCTGAGTGTCTCCCGATTCGGTCTAATCGTTGACATGGAAGCCCCACTCAATCTCCGGCTCATCATCGAGGCGGATAACCAGGTAGGACACGAGCTGGAAGAGGTTCTGCCACAGGCCCAGGAACAGATACATGTAGAAGTCGCTGACGTCCATTTGGCAGTAGACGCCTGAGTAATTCATGTCGCAAACGCACTCAAAGCTGTTCATGTAGTTGATGCAGAAGCCTCCGTTCATGCACGGGTCTGAGGCACATTCATCGATATCCTTCTCACACCTGAAAGGGCACAAAAAGTGTTTTGTTTTAGAAAGCATGCAGGTTATGAGCAACTAAGAAGGTGTTTTTTATATAGTGACAGGGATCATGGAGGGTGAAGGTTATTTGTACTTTCCTTAAATTTCCAGATAATTGATTAATTTTTCTCTCCCCGATGTTTGAGTTTGACTAATTGCATGTATGGGTGACTTAACTGCTTTAAGCCTCCAACCTAAATATCTCTTCTTTCTCAGAGGCAACTAATTGATTCAAGTTAATTGGTGCTCGAAGACTGACTGGAATCTTTCTCCTGCCCTTGGTCCTTGTTTTTTTTGGTCAGTTTGCCAAAACAGGGGGACGGATCAGCTAGACACCAGAGGTAAGGGGTGACGGCATTCTTGAGCAGGGAATCGATGTGAGAACAGTGGCTGAGAGCCACAATGAGCTGGCCAGCTTTGCTGCCCTCTGGAGCTAACAAACCACAGCAGTAGAGGCGGCATCTTGGCGCTGCTAGCTCAGGAAGAGACCTGAGGAGGACAGCGGTGGATCAGAGAAGACTACCACGCAAACAGAGCACTGAAGGCCGGGAGATAAGCTACGGCTGGCCAAGGCTGGTAATAGACGCAAACTGCAGATGATCGAAGCAGGATGGCGGAAGATCAGATAAGTGCGCCAGGTGGACAGAGGGCTGAAAGCGGAGGACAGCTGTACATCGGAGAAGCCCGTCAAGGAGAAAGACCAGGAAGAAGCTGGAAAAACGCAGAGGTTCGCCTCTAGAGCAGGCATCCCCAAAGTCAGTCCTCGAGGGCCGCTGTCCTGCAGGTTTTAGCGGCTCTCGGGGACCGACTTTGGAGATGCCTGCCCTAGAGGCTAACTGCTGGAGGTGGAAGGAGGACCGCTAAGGATCAGAGAAGACTTTGAACGGCAGAGCGTGAAGAGAGAAGGGATCAGCTGATCCGTGTCGCTGCTGGAAGTAGGACCTAAAACAGTCCTTCTATGGCTGAATTAGAAAGCAACTCACAGCAGTCATCCTTTGTCAACATTACCTCTATGTTCCCTTTTCGATTAGAAAAACCTTGTCTCCGCTGCCTCCTTCACTGAAACGGTGGCCAATCCATGATACACTCTTATCTCCTCATTTTTAGACTTAATAATACATGGTATTAATTAATGCTCATGAGACAACAGCTTTGAAGACTTTATGAATTCAATGCTGTGATCTAATGCAGACAAACGTTTCATGTCGCTGAAAATTACACAATGCTGCTTTAAAACAGGTGTTTTGTCTAAATAATTTAATTTTTTTAAAGCCTAATGCAAAAAGTCCCAGAATTAAGGTTTAAAACTAAACTACTCGTAAATCCATACAATAGATTTTATGTTTCTAAATAATGTTTCAGAAAATATATATGGAAATTTTCAGGCAGTATCTGTTGAAAATATATTTGGTAACATGTTTACTTCAAATGCTTTCATTGCTTTCCATTTAATTTTTTTTTAATCAGTCTTGATGTTATAATATTCCTTTTTATACACCTAAAATGTTTTTTTTTTTATCATTTCTATGCTGACATTCAGCTTTATTTATTTATTTTTTACTGTCTTTTCATTTATTGTTTTTGTCTTTCCTGCATCAAATGTTGATTATCCTTAAATTACCATCAGATAAATTCAAACTTTCACTATTAAAGAGACACTTAAAAAAAAAAAAAACAAATCAATCGCTGTGCTTTTTTTATATGTACATAAATTCCTGTCAAAGTCCGTTCCAGCAAAAAGCATTTTCTTTTCCGCGAGAACAGACAAACTGCAGCCATCTTGTTACCTGTAGTACTTATTTACTCCGGCAGAGGGCACCATTCATTCCCATATTCAATATTTTAGGATTTTTGAGGCTCATCTTAACTTTGTTAAAGAGCAGGAAGAATTTAAAGACATAATGCTCAATAAGCTGTTCTCCTCCAGTGACCCAAAGAGACGCTACAGATCATCATGCAGGTCTCACCATTGACCGGTGAAGCCAGGAAGGCAGTAACAAGTGTTCCCGGTTTCAGAGCAGTTTCCTCCATTAAAGCAATTGTAGTTCCATCTTGTTCCCACACAGGAAGATGCAGGCAACTGAGGAAGCCTAGACAGACACATATACAATGTTAGTTTCCTTTATTAGGACTTACACAGCTTTGCAAAAGGGTTTTGCTTTAATATATATTACTCACGGATCTGTTTCAATGTACCAAGGTGTGTCAGGGATTTTCACACTGTAATAGATAAGATGTGTTGGAACAACTTATTAATCTAGTTTTAGCTATTGTTTTGAAATCACTGCCACAAGATTGCATATCTTAAATTTCCTAGAATGTAGGAAGACATGATGCTGCTTATTTATGCATGATGCATACTTATTTAACTTCGGAATAGCATATTGTTCTCAGTATCACTGAAGTGCCTCTCTGAAAATTTGCATGCACTTTATGCTCATCTGTACAGAAGAGGGTTAGGGCCAGTGAAGAAAAAAAAGTTAACTGATTTAAAAAAAAAAAATTTCAGTTTAGTATGGAAAAAAAATCAGAATTCTGACTTTAATCTCAGAATTCTGACTTTTTTTATTTTCAGAATTCAGTCAGAATTCTGAGATTAAAGTCAAAATTCTGACTTCTTTCCCATGTTAAACTGAAATAAAAAATAAAATTTTAAAATCAGTTATTTATTATTTTATTTTCAGTGGCCCTAATCCTCTTCCGTACATCTGCTCGTGAAATACAAAGGAAAGTTCTAAGTTTTCATCCTGCAAAGATTGCTTTGCATCACTGATTGTGGTTCAGTTTCATTATTTGATTATAAAC